CAGGAGGAACTTTACCCCTCAGCCAATCAGGACAGGAGGAACTTTACCCCTCAGCCAATCAGGAGTGGAGGAACTTTAGCCACAGATGAAGGGCACCGAGCCCTACTGATGAACTAGTACTATTCTAGCGTGGTTTGGTTGTGTCTGGCACGGTCCAGTTCAGTTGTGTTCCATTTGAACTCAAGTTATCTCGGTTAACTTGGACCGCTATCAGCGTAAACGAGTCCATGCAGAGAAATGTTTATTCTGTTGGTGCCCATTATCTGATGTTTGCAAATGGTCCTGGTGGATTTCGCTATGTCTTTCTGCATGGAGTTAGCATGTTCTCCCTGACCATGGGTGGGTTCTCCCTGGGTACTCCGGCTTCCTCCCACAGTCCAAAAACATGACTGTTAGCTTAATTAGCTTCTCTAAATTGTCCTTAGGTGGAGTGTGTGTGAAATGGTTGGTCCTGTTCGTCTCTGTGTTGCCCTGCGATGGACTGGTGACCTATCCAGGATGGACCCCGCCTCGCGACCCCACTCGGGACGAGCGTGTCAGATAATGGATGGATTTAACTACGCCCTGTTCTAACAACACAGACCTGCTGTTCAATCTGTCACTGGACCTCAGATCATCCGAACCGTCTAAACCTCGACATTTCAGCGGTTCAGTCAGGATGGGTCCGCTCTCAGCTCTGGACGAGACGTGGAGATTGTCGTCACACAAAGACAAACTTCAACGGTGTCTCAAACTTCTTTTTATTTTTAATAAAACCATTAAATAAAAAAAAATGTGATATTAACTTTCCAGCCTCAAACACTAAATATTGATGGATCAGTTCTGATCAGGTCCAAACGGACCAACAGGGTTCTAAAAGGGGTAAATGAGGCGTATTGCACAACTTTGTTACCAGCTGGTAAAGAACGGACCGTTTATAGCTGGGTTTCTTCTTTACAAAATAAAAGAACTTCAACATTCATGTTTTACTGAAAGAGCGCTGATCCAACAATCAGATGCCAGCAGGACTTTGGGTCACTGCTGCTGGTTCCACTTCCTCCACGACTCCGTTCATTACAGGACGTCTGAATATTTACACAAACAGGAAAGAGCTACATGAACTGGCTCCAAGCTGGATTTTCACAATAAAAGCTACTGATTAATTTTTAAGAAAATAAAAGCTAAACAGATTGGGTTTGTTCTGCTGGTTTCCATGGTAACCCCATCATCAGCTGGGCGCAGAGGTCGTCCTCAGCTCCACGGTGGAACCTCCTCTCCAAACTTGGCGAAGTGAGCAGCGTTTTTGGCCTCGAACAGAACCTGAACAGAACCAAACAGAACATGAGTGGGCGGGACCAGTGCTTACAGGCGGGTCAAAATAACAGCAACAGTGTTTAAAAAAATATCATTTCTACGGTTTGAACATACTACATCAAACAACAAAAAAATGTTTTACTCTTTGATTCTGTCAAACTAATAGTTAAAATTTTTGATTTTTTTTCTAGACGCTTTAATTTGAAAGAAAACGCTTTAATCTTTGATTTCTATCTACAGAAAGTTTTAATCTTTCGCACCAGTCTGTTCTCCTTTACATGGACCGGCTGTCCAGCACCTTTCAGAGGAGGACCACTAACTCTTGGTCCAGATGTTCCCTCAGCAGCGTCCATCGCCATGGAGAGCTCCTGGACAGCAGCTCTGATTCCAAACCTCTAACTCAGGGGGAACCAGTTAAAAACCAGCGGCGTTCGAATAAAGAAAATCATCAACCAGTAAAGGTCAGGAGACATTTTTAATTATAATCCGTTACTTTAAACAGAATTGAATGCTGAAATAAAATGAGGCTTTTATGCATCCAAGTTTTAGATTAAATTTTTAAATAAAAAAAAATAGAATATTTTTCCAATTTAAAATCTAAAGTGTTTTTTTAAGTAGAGAACAACAATTGTTCAGTTTGGTATATAGAAAATTTCCTGATTCACATATTTTATAAAACACCTGAACTGCCCGTTTATTTTTTTCTTTCTTTTTTATGGCTTAAAAATGCAGTAGGAGACCTTTTCTCACATGTTTTACCGTGTGGCTTGAAGATCTCCCCACAGCCTCTTAGCTAGCAGTGAAATAGAAGGTCTGGAAGTGAAGAAGCTAAAATAAATGTTCCCCTCTACAGTGAGAAATCAATCAATAACCCCAACCAATCACAAAACACGGTCCGTTGTACACGATTGGTTCCCGACACGTCAATCATGGTCATCTTCTTGTCCCTCCCCCCTGTGCGCGTACCCTGACACATGAACGAATCGACCCCCCAATGCTGGTGCAGGACGTCATGGCTGGAAGCTAGTCGGCGTTATGCTACGTTCACACCTAAAGCAGCAGGAGCAGCAAAAACGCGCGTCCTGCTTCATTTTAGATGCTTCTAGAAATATAGTTCTGACGCAGCTGAAGCGTCTTTGCTGCTCCAGCTGCGCGGTGGTAAAGTGGGTCTGATGCGCGGTGGGCGGAGCTACTCTATCCTTTCTTTACCTGGAAAAATGGCAGCTATATCTGCTGTGATCAGCGGGTAAAAAGTAGTTTGAATCTGTGTTGAAGTGATTATATCAAAGATTATTTCTCTGTGGGAGCCGCTCAGACCCCCACATACCCGCGCTGCGCTGTCACTGGGAATCCCCAGCAGCAGCCTCTGGTCTGGTCGCCTCCTTGCGGTTTGCCGCGGCGGCTAGAAGGTGTTTTTTTCACGTACGTAATCCAAACTGCAGGCAGCAGGATAATAAAAGCGAACACATTTTGCTGGCAGATTTCGGCATTCTAAGTTAATTTAGGCGTTAATAAACTGTTTCCGAGGAGTGATCATAGCGCTCTGCATCAGCAGTGCCGTCTGTCTCCTGTGTGAGGCGCCATTCCTGCTGCGGTTTGGAGGCGTGGTCTAAAGGGAGAGACATTATTGTGTATGTTCAAAAATATAGCTTGCTGGAACCGTTTTTCCTACGGCACCTTTAATGTTGGCAGTG